TTAAGTCTCGGTCGAGAGTTCGTTACCTCTCCCGCTAATCTAAGATTGGCCTACCCCTTTAAAGATAAGTAATTTTGATGGGAGCGTCTCGATCGAAGTTACATTGGCTTATTTTTTTGTTTGGTACATGAAGGCATCGAAGCTCTTCTCAACTATAACCTCGAAGGGGCAGGAAGTGCATCTTCGCCTAACACGTTCCACGCATTCATTACCCTTCAGGAGGTATAAAGTCATTCTACTACTCTCCCACGTCATCAAACCTGGTTCTCCCTCGTTCTGCTGTTATCATCGAGTCAGAGAAAAAATTATCACTCTATAACAGGAAAAAACTACTGCATCCAAGTCCTTAATGATGTGGAATGTCTGGTTGAAATTCTCCTCGTTAATCTTTACTCCATCGGATGGAGTCTCTTAGTAGCCTGCCTCTGAACTGATCCATGGCCATCGATTATTTTTTCATTATGATGTTGACTGATACCTACAAATGGGGTGGTCAACTGAGTAGGTCAAAGTGGCTATAGACGCTCTGCCGCGTCAAGCCCATCTTGACAAAGGTGGTCTCAGGTGGCGTTCGTTCTGAAGCAAAGGGACACTGGGTGCTTCACTTCGTATGCATTTGAATGGTACAGTCGGGAAGTGTGCCCCACGGAGATCAGGGTGGCTTTTCGTTCTGTCCCTTTTGGCAAATTTTGACGAGTGCAGATGTAGAACTTGAAACAAGCATTTTTGTAGTGTGCCATCTTTACTAAATGTCAACCTGAGCCAAACCCCTCAAATTTATCATATTTGAAAGAAGAATTTATTTAGCCTGTCATCTCCAAGATGAATGTCTGCTTTCTATTTTTTTTAGCGCAAAACTCAACAATTGTAAGTAAATAATGGTATTAATGGCAATAATAATGATAAAAAACTAGAAATTAGGCACTTTGGTCCAGCCAATAAAATCTAATTCAAATTGCATTATAAAACCCAAGCGTCCATTACCGCTTGTCCCAGCTCACAGAAGAAATTTGCTCCGAGGGACAAAGCGTCTACAGTCGCGAGTCGATTTTATGGTTCATTCATTCAGCAGCAGACGACCAATCCTATCACATAATTTGAACACTTCGATCTCTCCTAATACTTGGTGAAACACGTGCTTTTATACGAGCGTCCTGTGATTTTCCGCGTGCCCCACAGTGGCCCCCACGCAGAGCGGCTATAGCCGCTCTGTCCGCCAACGTGCTGAAGGCCTTCAAAATTCATCACAATAATCTAAATGGTGCCTTACTGATTCCGGATTCAGCAGATAAAACCATAAGCAGGTTTGCTAACATAAAACAATTTATAAGCTGTCAAGGAATTCCTAATCTAAACATATGTTGCCATGAGAACAGCCATTATTTCATATTGGTTGCGATAGTTGCCTCAGCGTGACAATGCCTGGGTCCAACCATCAGCCGATGCGTCTCGTGAAATAATCTATGGACACAGTCTATGTGAATTGACTCATAACCGGTTTCAATTAAATGTCAAAGCTGTGCACGCCATCACTCAAAGGTTTGTACTCTTTCCTTGCAGAAAGAAGAAATCTCGCATTCTATCTTCATGATGATATAACAGGATCCAGCATATTTCACGCGTGCCCTTGAGAAATTGGGCGGATAATGAATTTCGTCAGGGAATTTTTCCAACACTCTGGGCTTTCAAGTGAACATCTCACTATTCAGGTGATCTGAGTCACGGGATAAAATATGGGCCGACCGGTTCCACTCCTGTTCTAACAATAATGTCAAGTTCTAAAGGCACCCCCCCCTCTTCGTCCAGTGATTCTCTGGGTGATATTCAGTAACGCCTACTCTCTTTCTTTTCAGCCCTATCCCTTCTTTTTTTTTCTAAATCCACCAACCCGTATTTCTCTCAGAACTTCCTCCTAAGTGGAGAAAAACAGACAACTTTTAGAGGAGATGGGCGACTACTATACAGACAGTGATGATTATGGCTCTCCAGGATGGTTCAAGAAACTCAAGATAGATCAATCATAGGCCTATTTACTCCATAACTCGAGAGTGGAGGCTCTTTTTGCTCAAGAAAAGGTAATCCTAGACTCGACCTGAAGAGAGTCCGTGGAGTGGGTCGAAGCCTAATAAGCCCCAACGCCGATTCTAATCCGTAAATAAATATTTCCCTTATGACGTTGGATCATTCATTGAGGGAAAAGAGACTACATATCACAAATCGCATACTAGAGATGAAGAAACGAGAAAAGCCTTCGAGAACGTTTTCTTATCACATGCCAGATAATGTAATATGAGACAATTACTATGGCAGTAATTCAAAGCACGTCGTTCTCATCCATGCAGTGGAAACTCAGGAATGAGTCGATTGGACGTGATAAATTGCTATCATTCCATCAGTCCCTTCATCAAAGATTTAGACGCAGCCATTCGTAAGAGGATCAACGAAGGGAGAAATGGGTTGTGGAGGAGAGGGGACCTTGAAATTTGACCGTGGCTTTCATGGCGAGGCGGTGTAGAAGTGGGATACCCCGAGGGCATTTAGGGGGGGAGCAAACAATGCAGGTAGATGACGTAATGAATGCCGGTCACCAACCTCCCTTCCTCAATCTCGTTAACCGAAAAAGACTGAAGAACCCCGTGAACTTCGTTCTTTCTCTTTTTGTCTCCAGTGAGGAGAGATCAAATCCTTGTTCTCCAAATGACATGTCTACGGCGCAAATAACTCATTTACGATAAAACAACTTCTAGGTCTTTCCATACCTCCCTTCTACGAAGGTTAGGAAGAGAAAAGCCTTTCGGATGAGCTCGAGACGCCGAAAGCGAATGTGAAAGATGATATCGTCAGGGTCACCGATAAATGGACCCATCGATCGAAAACTCGAATATGCCAGACGTCACATTGCAAAAGCAGTTTTGTCTTTTCTCTATACGTTTAACACTAGTCCTTATCCCCGAAAAGTAATTCGCGAGGATGAAATGATTCACCGTGGACGAGGTTCTTCAGTACTCTGAGGACGATTGAAAGGCTGCAGGGAAGGTTAGACTATCTGCAAAAAAAAAGTTTTTCCAGCCTCAGAGGGGAAGTGTAAAGATACTAGGGATCGTTCCTTTAAAAGCGAGAAAAAAAGTAGGAAAAGTTTTCTTACAGGCCTTCAATCACAACTACTGTATTAAGATATGAGGAGAGCGCCCTTCAATAACATCAAAACCTTTCAATTCTTTCGTTATTTCAAGTGGCTAAACTTTAATTTTCAATTATTGATTTACACTATTTTATGGCGTAACCATCTCGGAAGCAATATCTGTGCTCTACAAGAACTCAGACTTCGTTTATTCAGTTTTATGACAGCAAGTACTTAGATATCAGTACTTGAGATTTGGAAGACTCCGTCACCACTGATAGGGGCACCAATCGCAAGATCTCGAGAAAGGAAAATGACATATCTCATGTGAGAAATGGATGAGCCCTCGCTTTGGGAGCGCCGACCCTTGGGAGGCTAAAGTAGGCTATGAGGATACGCTATGAGACACACATACAGTATGAGACCGAGGGGAATTTTCGCTCGGGGCATTTCCTCATCTGCATCCGAGAGGGAACGTGAGCAACGTCATGTCCGTTCATCAAGCATGCTCACCTCTTTTTTTTTCCTGATTAATTTGCACACCTTTACAGGGGAGGGGGGAATTTTTTTTTTCCTTGAAAAATTCATGGTCCATGGCCATACATGTGAAAGCAGAGTCGCTAATGCAATAGAATGGAGTCACTAAAGGTGTAGAACTGCGTTCATGCAAGTCGGCACAGATCTGCACTGGAAACGATGACGATGCCTAGCGGAGCTCCTGGAAAAATCATTCATTCCTACTCGTGAGACGTGCGTCTCGGCTGATATGTAAATCTGACATGTAGATAAGACGATCCTGTTTACTCCTTTTCCTTTTTTGTGAAAGAGTCGCATGGCCGTGCGACTACTTGGGCTTTTGACATGCAGAGCCACGAATTTCGCACAGTCGTCAACTTTTTTTCACGCTCACCAACAGAAATTAATTATGCATTCCTCCTGTGTACCATACCGCTCTACAAAGAGTGGGGAGGTGACTCGAGAACAATAGGAAATGGAGGCATATTTGCAGACCTAAGAACTCCCAGTGTAGTCTGCCTGACTGGCATCTGTTACAACACAGCGTTTCAGGGAACTCTGATTCACAGTACGGATCTTGGGACATGGATTCGTAGTAAGGATTTCATCAGCCGTCAATTTTAGTTGCTCAATCGTTCCTAATCGTTCTCCATGCAACAACAAATTTAACTTGCTCGCAAATTCCTCAACTAGTTTTTTTCTCTTCCATCAGATCTCATGAAACGAGCAAAACTTGTGACATCGAAATGACCTCAGGATAAACAGCATGCAGTCATGAGAACGACCAGCAAAATGGCAAACCGTATCAACGAAGTATCAACGACGTTTCTCCGAAGAGTAGAGCCTTTACTTTTCGAGGAAAAGCAATTGTAGGGGGAGAAAAAAAAAGGTATGGAAATTGCTTTATTGTCTAAAAGGAGGATGAAAGCTGCGCTGTTGGCTGGGTCACATTCTTTCCTCTTCCACGAATTGGCATCCGACGGAAGGATCTCTGCCAGTATTACGTCATTTTCTTCCTCTAATTTTCTACAATTTTGTTGTTAATGAGGTACTCACTCGTGTATGGGCCGCTAAGTGGACGGAAAAAAAAGTAGCGTAGTGGGCCACGTGTCAGGGGCCACCTTGAACTAGACAGACAGGTGGTCCATGAAAATGTAGAAGCAAGGCAAGAAGTCTTCTCCATTAGACTTCCCAACTACGTGGGGAATGGGGGATACCCCATTTTTTATCGCTCTCTTATCCAACGCGATCGAAACGGTGGAAGTGTTTGGTGGAATGGGGTATCGTGCCGTCATGCCGCCTGATGTAAACGCGTTCGTCAACATTCCGGTTGCGGGAAAAGACGAGCCGAGGAGGGACTCACGAGAGTAGAACGGTGAACGAGGCTGGAAGAAGTCAATGAACGGTGCACGGTCGGAGCGTCGAGGAAGACTGAGACTGACCTCTAAAATCTTCCATTGCCATCGGGCATGGTCCAACCGACCCCCCCCCCCCCCTCCCCTCTCATTTTTTTCCAGCCATGTTCCATCGCCTCCAGCTGACGCCTTTCCAGTGCGCATGCCCGGTGAACTCGAGCGGAATCAACGTCCCGCGTACGTTAGCATTTCTAGTTCCAACGCGGAGCGGTGAAGCGTTACCACTCGTTAAGTGGGGAACATTTCTCCTTAGATACTTATAATAGTCAATTTGGTTTTTCCTCGTCCCGTCAAAAAAGGAATTCAATTCCCTTTTCAGACTTGAAGCTCAACGTTCGACTCGAGAAACGTGACACCTTTTTTCAAGGCTCAAGTTATGCCTAAGAGACATGCGAAGAGACGTCGATTCCACTCCAAATCGACATGTGGAGTCGAGGATTCATTGACTCTAAATATATACTTGATATATAAAGATGAACAAAATAGTCTTGGTGGGTGCGTCTCAATCTACTGTCAAGTTACTTACAGCTATATATCTCATTTTTGTAATGTCCAAGAAGTCATTGCCAACTCTTGTCAAACTTTAGGGTGGATTTTTGAACAGAGAACTACCCGATAATGCAGCTTTATTTACTGGATTTACAATGCATTTTCTCTGAAATAAAGCAGCATTATCGGATAATGCTCTGTTCAAAAATCCACCCTTAACCTTTATCGGACGAATGTCCCCTTCATGAAACGACAAACGTTACGGGAAAAATGTTCCATTTAGGTTCCTACGCATTTCAATGTTCATTTCAGCCCCAAACGGGTTCCCCATCCGTATATTTGGCATACGATGACGTAATCGTGTAAAAAAAAAAAGACTCTCGGGATAAGGTGAGACCTGAAACGTGATTAATCCGTGGAGAGAGTCAGAGAGACTAAGGCTTTTTGGCGAGCCTTCTCCATTCTTTAGGACGTGACATGATGTCTCCCGGAGACATCCTGTACGTGGCACATTACCTGAACATTACCCACAATATCTAAACATAGCATCTATCCTGTGTATAACCTACATATCTCTGACTAGAGTTACCTGTATCCATCGTTGAATAAAAGAAAAGAAAAAATGGGATGATATCCTAGCGATGTCTACGTGTCACGCAACACGTCATGTTCTGAGTCACGTATTGCATCCGTGCGGGGAGTCATGTGTCCGCAAGGCGTCGAGTTCACCGATACACGCACTACGAAGTGCTCTGATAATACCGCCATGTCTCCGCCTACGAATGATGTACACGGTGTCCAAAAAGTCAAGACACGGGGTTTTCGTGAGTCTAATCAATTACCTGCACCAATGACCCCATTTTGATATTCAATTGATTCATATTGAATTATTTTTTTATTTAAAAAAGTTCATTTGAAATGTAATGCATAGCAAAGTGTTAGTCATTGTTAGTACTTGAGCATCTTCCATACGAATGTGCACGAAAAAATTGATTTAAATAACAGCATTTGCATTATTAGAAAGGCAAAGTCCCAATGTGTCCTGACCTTTGGGACACGCTGAAGAGGTATGCGGTTTCCGAGAAAACGGAAAGGATGAATAACTGGGGGGAAAGGACTTTAAAAGGTTTCACTTAATTGATTGGATCATTAATGGAAATAATTATTTTTTCCAAGAGTATTTCATGAAATTCTCCCAAAGAAAGTTTTAAAAAATATTTTTAGCGAAACCTTTCGTCAAAGTGACACATATTCATATAAGATTCATTTCCTAAAAACCAGTTTTACTTTCGTCAAATTATCAATTGATTGATTTTATGGCTTTTTGCATGAAACTTTGCAAAACACCAATGCTTCACGCAGACAAAGTCCGTCTGCTCCAACCTAATGGACTATTAAATAGCCCGTCGATTAAACGATTAAAGACAAGTGGAAGCAGCGGGAGGCGGTGGGGGGAGGGGGGGAGTATGTCCATCTAACGCATGCCACGCGTTAGGCCGAGCTCATACTCGTGCTGTACAGCATGTACAGCAGCGGCAAAATCCAATCCAACATGGGCATGTTGCACAGGACAGTATGCAGTTGCAGCATCCAGCATCCAGCATGCTGTACAGCACGAGTAAGAATTCTGCCTTACTCGACGGAGGTAATTCCGCCACTTCAGCTCCAATCGAGATCTACGTACGTTGAATTAGTTACCGTTCGTTTTCTTGTCACCATCAATACATTTTTTTAAAAATCGCCACTCTCCTCGTTATCGATGCTTTTAATCACGAGGAACGTCTGGTTCTTCCCACTGTTATTAACCTCTTCTGAGTAGAACCATAACTCGTTTGAGAATTGCCTGGGTTCATTTCAAACGGTTTTTTATTTCCCCCAGGAAAGAAAAAGCAGGTTTTTGAAAAAACCATGGGCGGTGGCCCGTCTGGGTTAGCGCGCCTTCGAATCATGACAAAAGAAAAAAGAACGAAGAAAAAGATGAGAAGCTCTTGACGGGGAAATGCACGTGTGGACAGTTCTGAGACCCAAGCAGCAAAATGCAATAATAGTACCAGAAACTGTAGCATAACAATATACGAAGGTCAGTCAAATGAAAACCGGAAAATTGCAATCTAAAATAATTCCCTATTGATGGACGTCCATAACTTCCAGTGTATGCCTGCAGAGATTGTGCGAAGATCTGTCATAGCTGGCAACACCATGTGACCAGAAAGAACAGAGCAATCGCTTAAGCAACATGGCGCTCACAGTGCCTTGTGCGTCCAAGGAAACTGGGCGTGCCGTAATTCAATGTCTGACTGCTGAAGGTGTGCCACCCATCGAAATTACGGTGCGAATGGAGCTGTGACTGATTCCTCAATCTGCAGTCGATTCATCCAGTGAAACGTTTCTGTTGCTCCGTTTAAACTCGTCCACATTTTTTATCATTTCTGTGGCGACATCGTCGACCTGACCTTGGCGTGAGTCATTCTTCAAACTCTCGCGCCCGCTTCGGAAACGTTTGCACCACTTGTACGCGTGCCTCCGTGGTAAAAAGCTGTTGGCGTCAACAACACTCATTCGGGAATGGATTTCAATGGGTGGCACACCTTCAGCAGTCAGACATTGAATTACGGCACGCCCAGTTTCCTTGGACGCACAAGGCACTGTGAGCGCCATGTTGCTTAAGCGATTGCTCTAATCTTTCTGGTCACATGGTGTTGCCAGCTATGACAGATCTTCGCACAATCTTTGCAGGGATACAGTGGAAGTTATGCATGACCATCAATAGGGAATTATTTTAGATTGCGATTTTCTGGTTTTCATTTGACTGACCCTCGCATGTATATATTTTTAAAGACAAGTGAGGTTAGTGGCCTGCTTTATTCGTTGGCGAATTATGCTGAATTCACGAATTCCCTACATAGGACCGATTCATGGAGATATTTAGTGGGAGCTAAACCTCATCCACAGATTAGGCATTAGTTTAATGGAGAGGTCTTTATCGGAACTTCTAAAGAATTCCATAGACAAGAGTTAATGGCTACCAGTTCTGGAACAAGTAGAAAGATTAAAAAATTAATATGCTCTCTGGTATGACCTCGAAAATCGGAGCAACTGATTATTCTTATAATTTTTTCAGCACCCGTGCAAAGGTAGAATCGCTGACACTTCTCTGAATGAGATTACAGTTGTGGTAAATGACTATGAAATGAAGCAAAACTGAAATTCCGTAGCAGACAGAAGGGCACGAGGTGACGAACCCGAGCATTTACTGCTATAACTTAACTCAAGTGAGAGATATGTACAACAAGTGAGAGATATGTACTTTCCAGGAAAAATGTTCAGCTAAAAACATACCTGAATGTTTAAAATAATGGCACCTTGGTAACTCTTCATCGTGAATGAACAGATCAAGATTTTGCAAGGCTTTAAAGACGATCGCTGACACCTCTTTCCTCTTGAAGCTAAAAGAAAAGCTGCTTTTTTGAAGACAGACCAGTTTTGCTTTCTGGCCTTCATTTACCCTTGGGTCGTTCCAAAGAATTTCCTTTCATTATCGGTGATAGCTTACAAGTTTCTCTACCCGTGCCCCTTCTCTAGCCTATTCTCGCCAAACGCATTCAGAGACTCAGTGTTATGGTCTATGTAAACAACAATTTAAGGTTCGTATCGATCTTAAGAGGAAAAAGTTGGAAGCATGTCTCGTTCGTGTCGGCGTGCGAAATCTACGAGATGGCATCAGCAGAATCGACGGAGCCCCGATTCGATGGGCGGAGTCTGCCGAATCAGCTGCCGGATCATCGCCATAATCTCTGGTTTGAGGAATCCAGCTTCTCGGGTTGGGAAAACACCACACCCATAACACCCACAAGAGAGGGTGAGGGAGACGAAAACAAACAACGGTCACGTAGTGAAAAATAGATCTTCCTGTGCCGAGTGAGTGAATCTTTCTGTGGGAACGTGAGAGGAGGCACTCGCCTTCTTTCTCCTTACTTCAAACTTTCTTTTCCCCTTGCCATTCGCCATTTCAAAGGGAACTTTCTTCTTTATCCGTATTAGTCCTAAAGCCGAACGGTTCACTTCTTCACTTCACCTTCTCCCCTCCCCCACAAGGAAGCTGATACAACTCGGTGTCGAGTTCCAAGAGGGACGTGTTTATAGTCCTCAGTTTTATTGCTTCACAAGGAGATATAAGCGATTTTCCTGGATAACACTTCAAGTCTTAGAACTATTAAATCAGTAGCGTGCGGTGGTCTATGCCACAGGTCATGCAGATGTTTCTCAACGGAGTAGGGCAGTTCCAGAGTAAGTGGTAAAAAATTGATTCACAAACTGTCATCCACCTTAGGTTTCCTGCACTGTGTACCAAACTTGGATCAAATATGTTTTAATAAACATTCATCACTTGGAGGGGGATGGTTTTTCATTCCTCCTGCACCATTCCATTTGAATGAATTATTGGCACAAAACTTGCCCAGCAGATCATGTAGGAAAGATTATTTAAAAAAGAAAAACATTATGGCCTCCTTACAGTTATGACTGCAATTGATAATTACTTCATGTGGAGCCT